TTTTTATCGTGCAGCCTTGCCTTTAGTTACATGGTGGGAATAAGATTTGCTTTGTACACTGTAATTAGCAAATGTTTGCATGATAATATGCAGAACCGAGACAGTAAATATAATTTTTTTTAAATGAGAATCATTGCATTGCTTCATTTTGACCCCGTTGGCCTCAGTGTGCCTCAGCAGAGCTTCACAGAGCTGCAGACGGAACAGGTGTGTCTGAAAATGTGCTCTGCAATGCAGTAAACCATTAAACACTGAGCGGTTGTTGCTGGAAACGTTGCCACAGAGGAGAAACCGGGCTGCTCTCTTCTCTTTCAGTCACATGTAACCTTGACAAGCAGCAGAGCATCATCATTTCAGCCGGTTCAGAATAGAGCCCACAGCAACCTGAGAGCAAACATCCTCTCTTTATCTGCTCTTACGCCTCCCGACAAACCGAAATACCTCCATCAGACGCACAATGTAGGCATGTTATTCACCCCTGCTAGACCTTTCAGGACCTTTCAAAACAAAGTGTGGGTCAGCAGTAATCGAGCCCAGCAGCACCCAGGAAGGCCGGAGCGTGTTTACACCGCTGCCGGCTGCTCTGAGGGATTCTCCACCCGGGTCTGGGGTCGGATTCGAAGGAGTTTTCGTACCTGAAGCGAGGATTTTTTTCCCCCAGTCTTGGAGGATCAGTGTGGACCGGACTGTTAAGGTGACGATGATGATGTTTTCAGGGTGAGATGAAGGACCACAGCGGCCTTCAGCAGACTCTCAGTTCTCTCAGAGGGCTTCATGGTTCCTGTTTTGGTGACGAGAACTGAAAAGAACAAAATCTGCTAAAGTTTTACCTCACGGTGTCGCGCGTTTGTCTTCCCTCGATCACATCAGACTAGATCTAGAGTACGGCTGCTGATCTGAGGACGATTCTGGAATTATTTACTGGAGAAAACATCACAAACTCATCGTCTGTAAAGAGGAGTTTCATAATAAGTACAGCTCAGTTAGCTGTACGGGCCTTTACGAACGCTAACAAAGGTTCAAGAAAGATTAAACAGTAAAAAAAAATGAACGTTTTGAACTCAAACAGTTTACGTTGAACTTTGCAGATTTTTCCTGTTTTGTTAAATTACAGATTATAACCAGTAAACATGAAAAAATGATTAAATTTACGTTACCTGTCAAACAAAAACAGGCCAAAACTGTAAATGATGTTGAATAATTACAGACAGGAAATAATTATTCTCCAGTGTGACCGTAAAATAAAGAGTTTTACGGATATTTACTGTTTTTTTAAAGTATAAGGATGAAAGGACGGTAAATCATAATTTACTTTCTTGTTTTTACAGATTTTACCTTCAAATATGTCCCTATAAATACAGGGGAAAAAATCATGCTACATGCTGACTGTAAAAATAAAAATAAAAATAAAAATACAGGCTAAAACTGTTCATAATGTTCATTTAAAAAATCTCAGTTTTAGCAAATAGTAATTCTTTTACAGCATTTTAGTGTAAAATTAAAGGTTTTTTTTTGCTGCTTTAAATGAGGAAATAATCATTACTTCAGTTATTTGAAAGTGAAAATATGTACAATAAGAACTGAAAGATTTTAAAATAGCAAATCATGTGTTAACTGTTATTTTACCAATTAAAAGTTAATCTGTAGTAAAAAAAATACTAATAATAATAACAAACTAAATTAATGTTCACCTCAAAAATCTGCGTTTTCACAAACAGTAACTCTTTTAACAACATTTGATGGTAAAATTAAACTATTTTTGCTGTATTTAAATCAGGATAAATATAACAATTCTACATATATTTATCTGTATTTGAAGAAAAAAGCTAAATAACCTTTAACTGTTATTTTACAGATTTCAGAATCTACTAAACTCACAAGAAATTATTTATATGTTGACTGTAAAATAAAAAAACTTTTTAAAATTGTGTTTCTTTTAAATTGATGTAAAATTTAACGTCATTTTAATTTTTTTGTAAAGCAGCTAAGGACCAGTAGTCACAGGAAAAAAAAGCATAAATGTACATGTGAAACAGGCCAGAGCTGTAAATAATGTTCACATCAAAACGATCGATTTCTACAAATCGACATTAATTCTTTTCCACTGTGTGACTGTAACATCAGACCTCTTTACTTCGTTTAAATCATCTAACAATATCATTACTTGACATATGCTGCAATTTTTCCTTTTATTGTAGTTTTTTCTGGTTCCTTTGCTGCCACATTTTTAAAAACTTCTTTCATACTCGTCTTCATACAGACACTAATGACCAATAGCCACTAAAGTGTTGTTGATCGTGTGTGTTTGCCGCCAGCAGTGGAACCAGTCGTGTGTTTTTGGTCTTTGTTCAGGCTGACGATGTCTCTGAAGCGGCGGCTGCTCTCCATGCTGTTGTGTTGCGTTTACTGCGTGGCATCGCTCTTCTGCCTCCATCCAAACCGAAACAACTGCTTCTCGGTCGGAGCTCGGTGAGTCCCAACAGCCGCTGGACGACTCAAGTGTGTTCTGTTGACTTCTGTTGCACCTTAAGGTCTGGAGGTGATCGTCATGTCTTCAGCCTGCTCTGGTTGGTTGGACTCAATTACTTAAAAAATATATATCACAAACACAAACTGGACGTGAGGATGTCATTTATGATTCCAAGACAGACACAACAGACGTGATAGTGTTCAAAGCTTAGAGATTCTGAGTTTTTTGAAGGGATATTTAACAGACTTCTGACTTATTACCAAGTGACATAAAAGCTGTTTACACATCTGGAGTCCAACTGACAGGTTCAAGTTTTCTTTTCAGTTTTGTTTTGGTGCTTTATGGCCTCATGATAAACAGACATAAGAGAGATTTTAATCAATGACGAGGCAACAAAAGGTCAACGTCACCGTAACCAAGTTTAAAACAAACACTTTGAACTGTAATATTTTGGACAGTTTGCTTTTTTTCCCACAGATTTTTCCAGATTTGTTAAATTAAAGATGATATGAAGTAAAATCGCAGAAAATAAAAGTATTAGTTTGTCAAGAGAAGAAAGAACAAAACAAACAAACAAACAAAAAACGGGCTGTAAATAATGCTTCCATCAAAAATCTGTTTTGTTTTTTTAAATAAATGCAGTTAATTTGTTCTTTAACAACATTTGGCTGTAAAGTGACAATGATTTTATTGCATTCACTGCCAACACATTGTTATTTTCACAATAATTTGCTCTTTTTCTATAAAAATAGTATGTAGGATTGAAAAGTAGTGACTTTTCTGTTTTCTTGTATTTAAATCACCTGATAATATTGTTATTTTATAGATATTTGCTGTTGTTGTTTCACAGTTTTACACGTTTTAAACTCAATGTTGTTCCATTGTTGTTGTTTTTTAATGTAAATGACAGATCTTCTTCATTCTACTGTATTGAAATCAGCTAAAAATGATCACTTTACAGATGTTTGCTGTTTTTTTTTTCTTTAGGTTTTGCCGGTTTTAAAGGTTATATTATTCCATCATTTTTAAATATGTAATTGATAGAATTTTATTTCTGTTTTATAGTATTCAACTCCCCTAAAAATACTATTTTACAGATAATTGCTGTTATTTTTTGTTTGTTTTACAGTTTTTAAATATAATAGTATTCCATTTTATCTTTTTCTTTAGTAATTCACAGATTTTCTTTGTTCTACTGCATTTAAATCAGCTTAAAAACATCACTTTACAGATATTTGCTGGATTTTTTTCCCCAGTTTTTGCAAGTTTTTGCAGGTTTTATTATTCAATCTTTTTAAATGTAATTTATAGGTTTTCTCTGTTTTACTGTATTTAAGTTCCCTAAAGCTGTTGTTATTTTATAGATATTTGCTGTGTTTCTTCAGTCTTTCTGGTTTGAAGCGTTGCACTGATTTCGTCTTGATTCACATGACGGTTACAGTGGAGTAACGCTGAGCTGGTTTACGGAAAACCTCATTTTAAACTCTTTAAAAATCCTGGAGAACCTTCAATGACCGTTTCGCTCTAGAACTTTTCATTTTCTCAACTGTTCTTCTCTTCTTTTAGGAATCTGGCGTCAGTGTTCCAACAGATCTACCAGCGTGTGATTCGGCTGCTGCGCACCACGCTCTAGTTCCTCACGACATCCAACATGGCCGCCGCGACCGCCAACAAAAAGAAGAAGAAGAAGAAGACGAGGAGGATGAGGAGGAGGAACGTTCCCCACTTGGACTGTGGAGTTTCCTTCCTCGCTGCAGCTGTTCTCTGACCGGACGCAGAACAGAAACACGCCTGAAAATATCTATTTTTCTACTGATGAATGCTGACGTTTTGGATATTTGCCGTGTGACTGAGGAACGTCCTCCTTTAAGCACGTTCTGATAGATTCACCGTGAGAACCAAGAAGGTGCCGACTGAAACACCCGGACGAAGTGAGTGCCGTCACTTTAACACCTGACAATGATCCGGCTAAAAGTTTTACTGGTTCCACAAAACATTCTGAGAAAGTTCTGCAAAGTTCAACGTTCTCCTTGTTTAAGTTCCCAGAATGTTCTTCTTACAGGCAGGACAACTGAAGATGTTCTGAAACGTTTGGGGACAATAATGACAGACCGTCCAGCTGTAACGTTCTAAAAATTGAACGTTACACTGAGTCCTTTGTTATTACATACCACTGTGGGAACGTTTTTATAGATTCCACAGTGTGTTCCCTCAGCAACGTCCCCAAAACATCCTCAGAATACTGCTGGCAGAATGTTCCATCATTGTTAACATATCGCAATACAGGAACATCATGTAAAGAACGTTTTGTCGTCCGAGGTCTTGATAACATCTCGACAACGTTTCTTGAATGTTGCATTGAGAACATCCTTCCTTTGTTCTCACTGTGGAAACATCTTATAGAAGAACGTTCTGCCTTTAATATATCACATTACGGGAGTGTTATGAAACGTTTTGAGAAAGTTCTGCCAAGTTCCACTAATATTTTCAGCGGAAAGTTTTTCTTTTGGTTCCCAGAATGTTCTTCTTAAAGGTCGAATAACTAAAGATGTTATAAATATAGACCGTTGGTGCTCTGATGTTCTAAAAAATGAATTTTGAACTAAGAACATTCTTCCTTTGTTATGGCGGAACATTGTGGGAACACTATATAGATTCTATAATGCGTTCCCTCGACAATATCTCTGAACCATCTGTAGAACATCACAGCCCTGAGAACGCTCAGTTTTGGCTGCGATGTTCTATGAATCTAGGATCTAGAATCTATAAAACGTTCTGACAATGTTCCACAATGTTACACAGGAGCATAGAAGGAATGTGATCAGTCTTGAGAACGTTAGGGCATAATGTTCCAGCAGTGTTACCTACAAACATTTTTAGAACATCTTCAGTTGCTGCTGAAAATATTAGTAGAACGTTGCGGAACTTTCGCAGAACGTTTTTGTAACAAAAAAAAATTCCAGCAGAGTACCTTTTTTTAAACTACTGTTGCAGTTGTTATATAATTTCAGAAAGTTACCCAGCTAGAATTTTTCGTTTTGTTTTTTTGGTTTCAAGAACGTTTGGAGAAAGTTCATGCAGATGGTGTTTAGTTCTAATGAGAACAGTGTCTCATCAGTTGCAAAGATAATTGAAAAGGTTGCTAAAAAAGTTGCTAATCTGAATTTAACTTTGTCTCTGCAGGGCCGCGGTGGCAGCAGGACGTTCAGGACGTTCCTCTCCGGTTCCTCCTGGAGGATCTCGAGGCGTTCGGAGGCCAGATGAGATACAAACTCCCTGCAGAAAGTCCTGTTCTGATCGGAACCACCTCAACTTTCCACAGCTTTCAGAATGAACTGTACCTAAAGCAACATCTCTAACTGGCTTTTCATGCAGATATGAAACATCTGAACCATGAAATGAAGGAAAGCGTTCGGTGTCTCGCTCCGGTGAAGCTTTCTCGTGGAAGAGTTGATCACACTTACCATTTCAGATGGAACGTTTGAGGTGAATGAATGGATTTAGAACTTCTGTGCTGCCTGACTCCTTCTTGTTGTGCTGGACGACTTTGCCTTTTTGCACTTTTGTATGAAATGAGTGAACGTGTAACCCCCTCCACAATAAAAGTCTAATAAAACCAAATCAGCTTTCTTACAGTTCTATCAGTCGGATTGTTTATTTGTACAGTTTCACGGATGCATGCAGGCAAAGCACGCACACATTTTAGAATGGTGACTATAAATCATCAGTCAGGTTAGTCTTCATAAACAACATTATTACTGTAGGGTCTTAACATTTCAATTAGTCAGGTTCATTAGGTAATTATTACTCTAATATCTCAGCCTTAAAATTCTAATATTCAGTTGAAACTCCATAATTAATAACACTTTTAGTGAGTAGCCTTAATATATAAGTTAGGGCAGTCTCCTTAATTAATGGGTAGCCTTAATACTAGCTTTAATATTTAAATTACTTTGGTTAATCTACATAATTAATAGTGCTGTTGAGTTGTAGCCTTAATGCTAAATAATACTGGAATAGCTTAGCCTTAATATTTAACAATTGTTGTTCATTCTCCATAATTAATTATACTGTAGTACCTTAGCCTGAATATTTAATTTAGTTCATCTGCGTGATTAAACATACGGTCGGGACCTTACAATATTTTATTTAAATTATTTTGATTAATATCCATAACAAATAATACTTGAGTAGCTTAGCCTTACTATTTAAATTATGTTGTTTAATCTCCATAATTAATAATAATGTAGTGTCTTAGCCATGATATTTTAACTGGTTAATCTCCATAATTAAAATTCCTGTAATGTCTTGGCCTTATTGTTGCAATGAGCTAATTTTCAAATTAATATTTATTTTAGTCAGGTAAAGTTGTAATTTACATTTTTATGTATGCTGTAGGGTTTGATTCTTAATTTTTTAAATGGCTGTAGGGTGTTAACTTCAATATTTAAACTTGTCAGTTTAATTAGTGACAACAATCTTTTTTTTCTGCTGGAAAGCTCAGTGGTTGTGTACGTAATATTTTATTTTTTCGCACTACCGTTTTAAAAGCAAATAATACTTCACACAGCACATTTTACTTCCATTTCATTAAGCTGTTATGATGTGTTTATTTTAATGTTTACTTGCCGGAACACAGCGAGTCAGATCGGCTTTTATTCTGACAGTCTGAGCGGAAGTCCTGCTCTTACCGTTTCATTTTGACATTAGCTGACAAGAGAAGCTAACAGCAGGGAGAAGTTTTCTGCTGCAGTTTATTAAAGTCAAGGCATGACAATGTGTTGAGTCGCGGGAAACCAAGTCAAATAGCAGACCGCGGATTCTGTCGACGTCACAGGTACGTGACACGTACAGTTCTGAGTGCAGCTAACTAGTTGCCAGCCGGTTAACCTCGCTAACAAGCGGGCTAGTAACGTCCAGAAGTGCTAGCTGACTAGCCGTTAGCCTAGCATGAGCCATCTGCTTCGAGCTGAACGGTGGAAACAGTTGGGACGGCCATGTCTGTAATAAAGACGAGCCAAACACACGGTTTTCTGTTATTAAAACTGCGCATTAAAACTAAAAAGGTGTATATGTATTTATTTAACTGTCTTTTCTGTTGTTTGTGCCGCCAATGATTATAAATAACTTGTTTCTTGCTCGTGACACTGTTGCTGTCACCCAACTGTCACCAACCGTGGCCCCGCCCCCCTCCTCCTGCTCGCCGGCCAATGGAATCGCTGAAATCTTTGAGTGACGTAGCTCTTAGCCAATCGCAACCCCACAACAAATATGACGGCTCTCCTCTCGTTTCTTCACACAGCGGGCGTCTCTTTCCGGCGCAGTACGCTGGGATGCTGATGCTGAGGAGCCTCTCTGATCTGTAGCATCGTTAAAATCTCAATGTTAGTCGACATGTTGTATTGTCTGAGGCTGCAGCACTGTGTTGACCTCTGTCTGGGCGGCCTGCTCTTGTTTCTAGCGGGGCTGCAGCAGGTGGAAGCAGCCGCCGCCGCGGAGATGCCCAACTTGAACTGGAAGCCGTTTATCTACGGAGGGATGGCCTCGATTGTCGCAGAATTCGGTACGTGATGCACCGCAACATGCAGGACCTCAGCGTCATGGGTTTTATTGCCTACATGCGCTGTGATGTGCACGTCTTATGCAAATAGAAATCCGAAATGTGCAGCCGAGGAGACGTTCTGCAGCGATGGTAGCACTGACTTGGGGGATGAAGCCTGCAGCTGAGTAAATATGAAAAGCTATGTGCTGCAAATTCTGTACATCATACTGCTGCTGCACATGTACAGATATTCAGGAAGGCTACTGGGACAACATGCAGTCATCGTTGCCCCACTCTGTGTCTCTTGAGTGTATTCATTGTAGTTACACTGATTGAGATTTTTTTTCTGGAAAACTGATATTTAGATCATCTGTAACGCAAAAACAAACATCTAATTTCATTTTCATTTAACACATTTCAACCACTTTGAAGTTTGATAGCTATTTTCTAATCTAGAATATGAGCCAAATTTAAAACATCTTACTCAGTGTGGATGTTGTTCAGACGTAGACGACGAAAAAACGATGCCTGTCCAATTCAGCGGTAGGTGTTTCAACAGGTTCAAATCTTTCAAATTGGGGCAATTATCCGATAGCCAGGAGGTTAGGACATGTACCACATTGTGGCTCTGAGTAGCACAACTCTGGACTGGTTGCTGCATGTTGGTCTTCATGTTTTAAATCTCTCTACACTGATACTCATGAAAGAAAGGTTGAAAAATGCCCCCAAAATGCATCCTTATAATCGATCATGTGTTTTGACTCAACTGGGAGCCACCTGAGTGGGAACTTTATTAGTTTAAATCACAAGACACAGTACACCTGCAGTACATCCTCGATGCCGTTTGCCAACATTTCTGTCGACTTATTGTCATTTCCATTCTCAGGCACTTTCCCCATTGACCTGACTAAGACCCGGCTGCAGGTCCAGGGTCAGTCCCAGTACACCGAGGTGCGCTACAGGGGCATGTTTCACGCCCTCTTCAGGATCGGCAAGGAGGAGGGCATCCGGGCGCTCTACTCTGGGTATGGAACTGGCTTTTACTTTTTAGGTCACATTCTGTATCCAGCGTTTGGCCTCGACCGCTGACTTCTCAAGCTCAGAACGCGGAGCTGTTGGAGATTAATGTGTCGTCAAAATGTGTTGCGTTTTCAGCGTCTCTCTTTTAACCTGCCACATCACCATGGTAACCGATGCCGCACAGCTAGGTCCGGTTCAGGGTTTCAGATTTAAATCAGCTGTAGGAAGCGTGTCCTGTTCGCCAGTCCCTGCCCTCAGCTGAGGTTTATATCTGCAGACCTGTAGCATGTTAGCAACCACGTGTAAACTGAGTTGTGTTGCCATGGTAACCTACATGCATTCACTTGCTGATGCACAAATCGCATGACTGTGTTTTTAGGTTTATTCCTGATTTGATGCCGCGTCTGTTTTCACTGCTGCTACTGCAACTGACAGAACACAGAGTAGGAAACTGATTTACTCTTTATTACAGAGAGAGAAACATTGATTTCACTTTGATTTGGCCAAATGCTAAAGTGATGTCCTGCATTATATCAGACCATCCATCCATTATTTATACACCGCTTAATCCTCACTGGGGTCGCGGGGGTGCTGGAATCTGTCCCAGCTGACTCAGGGTGAAGGCAGGGGACACCTGGACAGGTCGCCAGTCTATCACAGGATTTTTGGACTGTGGTAGGAAGCCGAAGATCCCGGGTGTCCTAACCGGGATGCGAACCAGGGATCTTGTAGCTGTGAGGCGATGGTGCTAAACACCGAGCCACCTCGCAGCCCCAGTGTCAGACCTGTCATGTTTAAATGTATGAAGCTTCAAGTTTAGTAGCTGCCTTTGGATAAACTGGGTGGGGAAATAAACACACATTCAGAATAGAGTAGAATAGAATAGAATAGAATAGAATAGAATAGAATAGAATAGAATAGAATGTCCTTTATTAGTCCCACAGGGGAAATTTGCAACGTCACAGCAGCAAAGTGATGTAAGACAAGCAAGCAAACACAACTATGAATTAAAGAGGCGAGGTATATACACTATATATACAATATAAATAAGATAAACAGAAGAACTCAAGGATACTAAGAACACACATTTAGAAATATTTGCATGAATGAATTGCACTTGGGTGTTATTAACAGCAGTAGCAGCACTTTTGACTGTAATAGATCTTCATATTCCTCCCAGCCCAACCCTCTTTACTACAGTAGGCGGCATATACAGCGCCCTCCATAATTATTGGCACCCCTGGTTAAGATGTGTTCTTTAGCTTCTAGTAAAGTCAGTTTTTTTCTAACTAATATAGGACCACAACGAAAAAAAGAGGAAAATTCAACCGTTAATTCAAGTGCATTTATTCAGTGTGAAAAAAATCCCACATTAAAAAAGAATTCTTTTACATCAAATCATGTGTGCCACAGTTATGAGCACCCTTGATGTTAATACTTTGTACAACCAACCTCCTTTTGCCAACAATTCATTTGAGATGAGTTGAAGGTTACATTTTTCCACAATTTTCAGTGTGAGAGTTTCTGCAATAAAAACTGAATTTATTTTAAGGCTTTTAACACATCTTAACCAATCATTATGGAGGGCGCTGTGATTCGTCCATGAAGCCTTTTATGTGAGCGCGCTCAGAACCTGATGAAGAAAACCTGGTTAACAAAGAAAGCTGATAATCGCAGTCGTGATCGTCTCTAATTGGGGTTTTAGGTTTTGTCGAGTTTACTCACGCGTGCAAAACCTGGCTATAAATCAGATGTGCTCTGCTTGTTTGAAAAAATCACAGCATTTGGAGCATGTTCATAATTATTTAGACAATTTTACAGAAAAACTACGAGCGAGGAGATGAACTAAATTCTCTCTAAAGGAAATAGCCAAGAAGTTTGTTTTATTTTAATGCGCCGGTGTTGTTTCATGGTGTTGCTTTGCATGATAATCAAATCAAATCCACTTTAATAAATCAGATTTTGCACAGGAAATCGATTTACATAGCCACAAAAATATTACTGGGATTCTGAGATGATGTAAAAATCACGGAAATGTCTCGTCTGTGTGACGTATCGCACTTCCATCCATTGAATTGTTGCTGTAAATACTGAACCTGTACGTTTTTGCTCGCTCTGTGTTAACAGACGGTGTAGAGTAGCGATGCTGGATGTGGGTGCATCAGTTTGTGTGGTTAATACATTCCTCCAGTACAACGTGGATTATTCCTGCACAGCCAGCTCTGTTCTCAGACAACTCTGATTAATGCACATCTGCTTAAAAACACAGTAGTCAGAAAAGCACAAAGAGCTTTAATACACCTGAAAAGCGAACCCAGCTTTAGGTTTGAATATCAGAATTTCAGCGCTGGAGCGTCTCATTTCAGCGTCGTGTGAATACAGTCCCAGATGATTTGCTGTTTCCCGGCGAGAGAGCTTTTAGTTTCTCAGCGCGCTGTTAAGTAAATGTTGGCCTTTCTGCACACTCGCTGAAGAAACAGCATGTGGTCAGTACAATATGCAGTAATGAGCTGCTACAGTTTGTGGGTGGCTGAACTGTGATTGTGCTGAAGCCAAACTACAGATTCTACAGACGCCCAGTGGGACAGCAGATGTATTCCATTATTAAAGCAGATAAGAAGGAGCTTCTCCTTTGACTTCTAACGCAGTGGGTGTGAATCAAGTGTTTCTTGTCGGCAGTTTTTTAACATCCATCTGTGCTTTCCAGCAGAGACACTAAGCCTGGATGTTAAACTCCTCCATGAGACTGAAATTTTGATGCTTCACCCTCGAGGCCGCATAAATGAGAAGGCCGCTCTTCCTCCTCTGCGCTTGACTTCAGCTCGCTGGTTAACAAACTTGTTTCCACCTCCTCGCAGGATTTCCCCCGCTCTGTTGAGACAAGCTTCTTACGGAACAATCAAGATAGGGACGTACAACTCTCTGAAGAGGCTGTTTGTCAGTCACCCAGAAGGTGGGTGTCACTATTTTTACCTCTATTATCCCGTCTGCTGCCTTCCTGCTCGCCTCCCTTACACAGTCTTTCATCATAGGAGTGTAAACTTACAGCCTGCCTATAGGGAAGGACACGTTTTAATTCTGTCAGTCTCTCAGAACCGCTCTGAAATCTTGAAAGCATTTTTGTTATTAGTCGGGAGAAACGTTGGCAGACAATGGGCCAAACCGTGAGTTGTCAGATGTGGTTCGAGTGATACCGACAGCACATTAAATCTAGTTCCATATTTTTATTTTCAGCTCTCACAGGTTTAATGCTGATGCAGTCTCCTGCAACATGCAGTTGGTCGACGAGCTTTATAACCCAACCAAAACCCACGTGAGCCCTCCTGGACCGCAGTCAGCCAAAGTATTTACAACCAGCTCTGGTTTCATATGAGAGCAACAGCCGTCAACTCTCTGAACCCCAAAGACTGCTGCTTCGAAAGGCTTGTTGTCTTTTTAAAAAAACAGCAAAATGACACCATGAGTGAGAATCTGAGAATCGGATTTCCAACTCTCCAGTGGTCCCAGAACTAATCGCCTGTGATGTGCTGCGCAGTCGGGAAAATTCACCAAATCCAAGTAGAACAACTGTGAAATTTCACTGAAATCATTTTAGTCTAAACGTCTCATTTAAAAGTCTGCTTCAGTCTGTTTAGTCTCATCAGATTCAGTAGAAAATCAAAAATTCTGTGCTTCTCGGCTAAACGGTGCAGCCATGAGTGACTCAGCTCTGACAAAACAAATCAGGGACTTTTCAGCTGAACTGCAGGCGGTGTTCAAACCCAGCAGAGAGGGGACGAGTGTGGAGGAAAATGTAAGTAGTAAAACATCAGAAGTATATAGAGACACCATGTTTTCCCCAGTGTTGGTAGCACCTTTTGGCACAAAATGTTGGAAATGGTGATGATTTTTTTTAAAAAAGGAAAAAAAAAGAAATTCAGCTGCATCACACTGCAAAGGAGACAGCATTGACACTGTTGTGCTGTTTCCACAAAGGTGCAAAAAGGGGCAGAAAACATCCAGAAGCTGGTCAGAGTTTAGAGCGTTCGCCGCTGACCGGCTTAGTAACAGCAGCAGCAGCAGCAGCACCGAAGTCATTTTCTTAAATTTACATTTTAGCTTGTGGACTGATGCTGCTGTCTGAAGGCAGCGTCTGTAGAAAGAGTGGATTTAAATGTCTTTTAGTCCCGGGAAGGTGACTTGAAAGTTCCCACAGCAGAGTAGCAGGTGCTAACACTCTCTTCTACATAGTGACGAATAAAATCCAACACCATCATTTAAAAATGCATCATGGACGTGACGGTTTAAATAATTATATAGACTTCAGAATATGTCTCTATGGGGATGAGATGTTTGGAGCAGTTCATCAAGATAAAATGATGTTTTACTTTAATTTGGCTTTTATCCAAAGTAGTTTGAGTGTGTGCATCATATTTACAGAACGAAAAATTAAATTGACAGAACACAAGAGAGTTTTTTATATCGTAGTGTGTAATAATCAGCTAAAAGAAGCCTCTCTAAATCAGTCCTTAAACCCTTTTGGCCTCCAGAACATCCTTGCTGCTATATTTCTTCCATAAAACTGATCACGTGTGACCAAACTTCTGCTGCGTTCTGCTTCCTCTCGTTGCTTTTCCTTCTGTCTGGATTCAAACAGCACTTGTCGGCCTTCTCTTTTCTGTATTTATTTTGGGATTCTTTGCATGCAGACTGGGCGTCTCGGTGTCACTCAGCCGGATTGCAACTGATGAAAGGCCGTTAATGAAATCATCTTTTGTCGTAAATGTCATCAAGTACTAAAAATATAAGGTCAGATCAGCTAATTGCACTTCTTGCGTCTGGGTTCTTACAGTAAATCACGTGGAATCAGTGCACGAACACACCGAGGCTGCAGCATGTGTGCCCTCGTGTTATTGGTGCCGGTACGTCTGTTTTCACCGAATAGATTTCTCTTCAAAGGTTCAGTGTGTCCTGGCACTTTGTGTTGACCCACCTGGAAGCAGAGCGAGTGCGTTAACCTGCCGGCACTAATTTGCAAGCTAAATAAGAAGCAAAGTGCTTCCAGGAGGGAGGGAGGGAAGGAAAGGGGGGTAGGTAGGAGGAGACAGAAAGGGAGGGAACATAACTGAGTCAGGGTTTGTCCTCGCTGTAAGAGAGCCGATGTGCTTTAACCGCATCCATCCGGCCTGGATCCGATACTTTATCCACCGTCTCGAGCTCAAAATTATATGAATTTATTTGAAACGCTGGTAAACAGATCTCGTGTCTTGGAGGGAGACGTACAAAAACACTGAAATTTGTATAAAAAAAGACTTTTCTGAAGGTTCAGCAAAGATTAAATTAGCTGAAGTAAAGCATGTTCTGTTGTCCGGACCTCAGGTGGTCATCTCCAGTCAAACGGGTTCATTTGCATTCATCAGTGACTGACCGGCGCCATACAGTTCTGCCTTTTAATCCCTCGCAGCTTTTTTATTTGTCATTCGGTTCCTTCATCATCTGTCTTTCATCATATTCGTATCCTCTCTGTTCCCTCTTTCGTTTTCTTTGTTCTCTTCTGTTCACTTTGCTCGTTTCACTCCCTCAATATTTAATGGCCAATTAGTGTGCACAAGATAAATAATATAAATAATGGAGCAGATCAAGGAAGGAAAACAGCACTGAGGGAGAAGGACGCCGCAAAAGTTAGATTGTGGATATTTGTCCTTTATGTTAAAGCAGTCGTTGAATTTCATGGTAAAAAAAAATATGTTTGTTTGTTTGATACAAATCTCCTGTCACGAGTTAGCATGTGTTTAGCTTAGCTTAGCTTAGCACGAAGACCAAAATAAACAACGATGGCTGCCAATATTTGTAAAGTTGATCACATTTAAGGCTCACTCAGGTGTGTCACAATAAATTATGTCAAGGTGGTGTGTGGATCAGTTTTTCGTCAGTATATCTGTGCATTAAACAGTGAGAACCGTTCTTGTGTTTGCAGGACGATTAAGAACTCGGCTGCCACAGTTTGCTGCTTTTACACTTTCCTGTCAGCATGAGCTAAACAAATAAAGATTAGCTGCACTACTAAGTACGTTTTTGAGGCATTTGTATGTTGTTTTTTAATCTGTGGATGGAGCTAGGCTAGCCGTTATCCTCTGCTCCCAGTCTTTATGCTAAGCTAAGCTAACAGCACGATTACTTCTTGTCCATATAAATCAAGAAAGCAGCATATTTCTCAAAATATTGCGTTTATCCTTTAAGCTCCGAATCACAAACTACTGTGGCGACGTTGTTTAACTTCCATAACAGGATGCTAGCTGCGTAGCTCTTTGCATTTTAAACACACAAACACGTGAAGACACTCCTTAAATAAAAGTACAGGGGTTCTGTGGATTTTCCCGTTGATATATTCTTTACTATGAGAACAGCTAAGGCCACATTTACACTCGTTTTTAATGTTTTCTTGTGTCCACACTGCTACACGCTGCTGCTGCTGCTAAAAGTAAACCTAAAACGGAGTCTTGTGGAAATGCCACTGACCCATTTTAAGAAACACAGACTTGTGGAAGCTTTCTGTGTCTAAACGTGACAGTTTTCCAGACCTGAACAGACATTAGTCCCGACCACCAGCTGTTAATTCAACACAGATAATGAATAATGACCTTGTTCTCTATACTGATGTGCAGTTAAGGAAACTTTTTGTGCTACTTATCGCCATTTCTGTTCGTCCACTTTACTATTTTCTACAATGAAGCAGCCAACCTGCACCTACATGCCAGGTGTACGTGAATGCTCATGTGATAAACAGTTGGAGCCAGAAGTTTACTTAGTTTATTTAGCAAATAGAAATAATTTTAGTAATCCTAACTGACCTCAAACAGGAAAAGTTTAGTCTGATTTAATGTGTAAAAAAAAAGATTTTATGTCTTTTTGTTCAGTGTGTGTAAACTTGTGGTTTCAGCTGGACACGATCTTTAGAAGCGTATGGAAACTGTTGCTCACGACTGTCTAACGATTCTGATTAAGGGGTCGACCGATCATCGACTTGGCCAGATCCAGATGTTTGGCATTTTTCTGAAGTATTGTTTACTTTTAGGGACGTCTGATGTTGGCTTTTTTTTGCCAAAAACCGATGTGCCGATAATATCCAACTCTCAATTTCCGATGCAATATATATGTGGGCTATTTAATTAATTTTAGGTAACATCTAGGACTGGTCTGAATAGCAGTATCTGGGCTCCAGATATTTGGTTAACTAACAATTATAATTAACGACGAATATGACAGGATATTATTCATTTACTTACTATTATTTGTTTCTTTATTTATTAACACAGTAAAGGGCATTCAAACAAACTCAAATTGCTGGTCTGGTGAATTTGGACCTCAACATTAATATCCGGATGTCAGCACAACGACTGAATATGTGGATATTCTGCTCCAGCCCCAGTAACATCACATACCTCCTGTTAGTCAGGCACAGCGCGAGCAAGCTTGTTACTGCAGCTTGTTTACACGCTTCACGACACACTTTGATGACGTCATCATTGCGCGCCATTAAAATGCAGGCAGTATTTTATCGGCTGTCATTATAGGCAAAAAATCTGAGATAGATAGATAGATAGATAGATAGATAGATAGATAGATAGATAGATAGATAGATAGATAGATAGAACTTTATTGACATTGACCGATATTACATTTTTATGCCAATATCGGGCCGATATTGTCGGTGGACCGATATTATCAGACATCCCTATTTATTTTTCTTTCCGTCTGTTGCGGTCTGGAGCACAGTTCCACTCATAGCTTCATCTGATTAGTTACATGTCATGATGAACAGCCAATCGGTACTGAAGGACAACTGATGAAATGTTCTCTTCTCATTAAACATATGGAAGCAAAAATGAACTCAACTCAAAAATAAATTCATTTTTACTGCAAATACATATCCGTTCTAAGTCTTGTTGGTCTTGCTGATCACTGCTAATCAGTATCTGCTCTGAAAAACATGTTCGACCTCTGAGTCTGAACCTAAAAGGGAGCAGAGATGGAAACCGTTACTGAGGCCTCACTTCACCTTTTCAGTGGTTTTGCCAAAATACAAAGCGCTCCTCTTCTTGTTCTCTTTGGTCTCTGTTGACTGTTTTGCGTTTGCGATCTGCATGCTCTGTGCCACGATGGTGCCACTGTGTTTTGAATGCTTGTTTTGATGCAGGCTTGGGTTTGCCCTGTGGTTGTGGTGGGATCGGACGCCCGTTCCCCTGCCCGTAACATGAGCGGCGCCGGGACCGCCACACTAACTGTTGGTCAGGTTGATCAAGGATTTACTGTAACTATTGTTCTGAACTCAATCCATTTAGTCTCCTCCTCCTTCTTGCTCCTCACTGGGTCGCTACTAATGAGATCCACCATTCGCTAACACTGACAAACTCTGCTGATTTGCTTAGAGTGGTTTGTTTAAGGCCAACGTACTCAATGTGCAGTCAGCTTGTTTTGATCTGCGTGGTGTGCCAGGTGGGTGGAGTTTAAAGAGATGAGAACGTTTGGCCGGTTTAAAGGTAAACTCCACCCGTGTGGCGCTCCACGTAGGTTAGAGCAAATGTGACTGTTTGTTTGATAACATAAATCTGTACAATAATTCCCTCAATCCTAACCAAACTTTGGATTTCAGTACTTCATACTTGTATGGAGCTCACAGTCGTAGACAATAATTTCTGACACTAATTGGCTTTTTGTAATATGTTTTTGTCATTTCTAACTTTCGGTTCAGAGTTTATAGAGATCCTAAATGTGTAGCTTTGCCAGAATTAAACGAGACTTAAGCTGTGATTGTAGAACGTCTTTCTCTGGAGGTGAGCTCTTTAACATTTTCAACACATTTGCGTCTTGTTTGGGTCGTAATGTCCAGATACAAACCTCACACGCAGCTGGAAACGTGTTCAGCTGTCTTTAATATAATGCTGTTACCATAATAACGGATGATTCACAGTGAGCAGCTCATCACTGTTATTGCAGTTTGTTTCCAGATGTTAGTATTTTGTTGAATAACTTCGCAAGTAAAGTGCAATCCAACGGGATTGCCGACATTTTTGCGCTAATTACACAAATGTTTCGTCCCAAACAAGATGCACTGGTGTATTAAAAATGACACAAAGACAACAGCAGAGAGCATGCATGGTAATTTTACAGTCTCTGGGAATAACCTGCCTCCCCTCTAGACATCCGTACATAGTAATTATAATCTCAGTAGCGCCATCTTTGTGTGTTTTTTAAAAATTTCTGTCTCCTTTGCAACAGATGAGACGATGGTCATCAACGTCTTCTGTGGCGTCGTGTCCGGAGTCCTGTCTTCCTCGCTGGCCAACCCCACCGACGTCCTCAAGGTGATCCTCAACTATTTAACAACCGCAGCACCGAGGCTGTTTGTTAATCTGTCAGAGTTTACTAACCCTCTGAACTCTAAGACGTTTCTGGGCCTTTTTCTGCTCACTGTGGGCTCATTTTTCACTTCACTATAAAGTCGTTCGCCTCTATGGAAGCAGAACAACCAGGACTGGAAGTAGAGAAAAATGTGTTCTGTGCAGGAAGTTAAAATGCAAAGAGAAAGTTGGATGTCTTTGATTATTTATTTTGCTAAAATTGGGGGAAAAAAAAAAAATCAACATGTTTAATATTTTTTCACCCAACCAGAGTTTTTCTCCAGTATCCTCCCTGTTGCACTGATTTTTTTATTTTATTTATTTTATTTATGTTAACGTTTACATTATCTGATGCAAATTGTTTATTTTTGGCACTTTTTTTTTTTTTTTTTAAAGGGCACGTTAAGAAAGAAAAGAGCTTTTGGCATTCAGGTTTAGTAAAACTCTCTAAATATTTAGAAGCTGTGCGACTCTTTAAATTTCACACGATTATATCGTTGCCAACTCTTCCATGGTAGTTTTTAAACTGCTGCTTTTAATTAAAGCAGCAGAGACCAAATAAAAGATTTGTTCTGTAGAGTTTTAGGCCGTTGATGCTCTGATAATGTGATTTTTTAGGGATTTTATGCTTTGATTTGGTCGAAGGCGTGTCACGGATGAGTAGTTCAAGGACTGTGGGAGAAGTTAAAATCCAATAATTCTTTCATAATGGTGTCATTTTGGCATTTTATTTTATTTTTTTTAAAGACAACACGTCTTTCAAAGCGGTTTTGCATCTCAGAAGGTTACAGACACAGCGGGCTTGCCTTTCAGCGCTGATACGTTCCCACCGAGCAGCAACATCTGGAATAAAACATGAGACCTTGAAATGTTGAAATGACAAAAATGGCTTTTCCTCGAGTCAGTCCTCATAGACCCAGATGTTCAAATACTCTACAGCAGACATAAACGTGTTTACAACCTCCAACAGGAAACGCTTTTGTTCTGTGTCGCTGATTTCCTCATTTGAATGTTTATTTACTGTACTATTCGTGGTGTACACAGCTAAGGCTGCTGTGGATCGCGCTTCATGTCTGTTTTGGATTATCTGCTAGTTAAATGGACATATATATATATATATTTGTTTGTTTGACCACTTTCTTGTGTCTGTCTGTTCCAGATCAGGATGCAGGCTCAGGGCAGCCTCCTCCAAGGCAGCATGATGTCCAACTTCATCAACATCTACCAGACAGAAGGCACCAGGGGGCTGTGGAGGGTGAGCGCTGGGTCACTCTGTGTAGCAGCGCGCTTTGTGTATGGGAACGGAGTGTTGTGTACCAAGATGGCGCCACATTCATTCCGATAAAAAACCCTGATAAGTTCATCAGGCTTCCACTCTTTGGGACTTAAAGTATATTAAGACTCTGAGATCTTCTCTGGCTGAGATCAGATAACTGCTCTCTGTGAGTTTTCGGTCTTTATCTCACCTAAAGAGTGTTTATCCGGTCACTTTATTCTGAATATCTGAATAAGTGAATCCATCTGTCACTGGTTTCATTCATTTAACAGCAGATAAAACCAAACCAAGAAAATAAGATAATTAATCACGAGGAAAATACCTGTGCCAGATATCGCTAAAAAAACAAACTGAATGGACATAATATAAGAAATGCAGTGACTACAAGATACAATACAATGATGAAATAAAATAGTTAATGTAAAATAAGAGTAGAATAGAACAGTGGGAAAGTAATGCTGGCAGGAACACTGAGGTAATATCACACACAATAAACACCGGCATGATTGAAAATGAGAACCAGTTCTCAGTTAACTTACCTGGTAGAATAAAGGTTAAATAAATAAAAAATAAAAATATTAAATATTACACCTGAGAAAGGAAAATACGAAATATCACACAAATGCTGGACACGATTCAGAGACTATTGCACAAAGCATCCGATGTTTTAGCTGCTATAGAATCTCTACATTTATATTAAGGATGTTTTTTTTTTTTTGTCCCCAATCCGATCTGAGACTTTCTAGTATTTAGTATCTGCAGATATAATTTTCCAAGATGATGCACACTTCAAGCGCCGTAGATTGGCTGCAGTAGCTGGTTAGCCTCTTATTATTTAGGACTGTAGCTACTAGAGGACCACCAGGCAAAGTCCTCTGTGACGCTTAATCACTCCTACACATGTGGTAAATCAAGCTCAGCGGAGATCGTATTTCTATGAACTATTGATGTACGTATCAGCCTGTATCGTGTTTCTGGGCTTTAAATAGTGATATCAGCACGCAGCAAATGTCCAGTGTGCTCAGATTGCCTTTTAAAGTAATCAATTATTGATTTAAAATGTTGTATTCATTATGAAAATTATTAAAATTTATGACCCCTGTGTGACGGCGGATGGAAAACAGCAGAAAGGACTCTGGTTCATGCCGATACAGACGAGTTGAAAACTGTCTTTATCGATCAGGATCAGAAATTAAACATCCTGAATTTATATCTTATCTGCAAAACTGCAGATACAGCTGTTTTAGTCGTCGGGCAAACAATGTAGACTCCAGGAAGCAGCTGCTCTCAGCCAGGAAGTACTCAAAGCACACCGACCTCCTAAAATGATGAATGCTGCACTTTGCTTTATGGACAGATTAAACGTCCAAGATAGGAGAGATTCAGGGGCGCTGACAGATTTAGCTGCCTTTGGAGACTCATTTTAGCTTAGCTTAGCTCACAGCCTGGAATGATTGTATCGTGTCGACTAGTTTGTTTTACGCCGACTCAGCTCTGTATTTTGAGTTGCACCGTACAGTCAGACTCCTCTCCTTCGTCCTCGTCTTCCTCAGGGCGTCATCCCCACCGCACAGCGAGCAGCCATCGTCGTCGGGGTGGAGCTTCCCGTCTACGACATAACGAAGAAGCACCTCCTTCGCTCGGGCCTCATGGGAGACACCATTCTGACACATTTCATGTAAGAGTCCCTTTTTTTAAAAAAGTCTGTTTCCTGGAGGCTGAACTACGAAGGCGGGTCGACATTTCTTTCTTTGTGTGAGTCGACTCGACAGAAACTATCAGCGATATCAGGCCTTATAAAGGTGGTGATCAACTGTCTGTGTTAACTCAGACTTTCTGCTTCAGATTCTTTGTGCGTTTACATAAAAGGAGGCGTTTAACGCGTCACGTGACTTCTAATGAAACAATGCTGTAAATGATGCAAGACAGGAATGCAGGTAGAAAACTGTTTATCGTATGTAAATATATTTATTTTACCGATCAATGCAGCTGCACATTAAACCAGTTAAACTTAATATATACTTAATTTAATATAAGTGCATGTAGGTCTGACACTGTCCCATAATGCAGGAAGTCACTTTATATTTTGGCCAAATCAAAGTAGAACTAATGGTACTGAATATTCTCTGTAATAAATACCAGTAGAATATTACCGTAATGTCTGAACTATAAGCCGCTACTTTTTTCACACGCTTTGAACACTGCGGCTTAAACAATGATGCGGCTAATTTATGGATTTTTACGAATTTGCCTCGAGACGATAGTGACACTAAGAGCGACGACGAAAGAGAGACTGAGGAAGTGTGTGATGACGTAACTCTGAGGCTGTTCAACTCTGAAGAAGACGACTTTAGTGGTTTTAGTGCGCAGGAGGAAGATGAAGATAGCGATCAATGACTTTTCCTGGTAGGATGCTGTAGTTTTTATTTTCTTAACCAGCCGTGTTACAGGAACTGTTCGAAAAAAGAATTTATGATATTTGTGTATGTTACCGGTACGGTAAAAGTTTTAAAAAAATCTTTCTGTGTAAATATCTCATGTTACAACGTGGACACCTGCAGCTTATAGACAAGTGCGGCCTGTATATGTACAAAACTAGTTTTCTTTATAGAGTTAGTGGGTGCGGCTTATATTCAGGTGCCTCAATAGTCCGGAATTTACGGTAATCTGTGTCCTATTAGCTGCAGTACCAGCAAGGAACAGGTTAGCTCCACAGCATCAGTTACCATGGAGATCTAGCTCCACAGCATCAGTTACCATGGTGATCTAGCTCCACCGCATCAGTTACCATGGAGATCTAGCAGTTAAAAGACCTGAAAACTCCAACTTTAGGCTCAACGCATTAATCTGGCGTCGTAGTTCAGCCCTCCGGTCAACGGGTTTGTTTGTTCCGTGTGTTTGTACAGTTCTAGCTTTACGTGCGGCTTGGCGGGAGCGCTGGCCTCCAACCCCGTCGACGTGGTCCGGACCCGGATGATGAACCAGCGGGTTTTGTCTGGGAGCCCCATGTACAAAGGAACACTGGACGGAGTGATGCAGACGTGGAAGAACGAGGGCTTCTTTGCTCTCTATAAGGGATTTTGGCCCAACTGGCTTCGACTGGGGCCCTGGAACATCATCGTATCCTTTATAGTGAGGGAAAAATATCAACATCTGGCAACTAAATCGTTACCAAACAACTTCTTCACCAATATGTTTGTAAAGGTGTAATAACATGCCTTAAAATGTTGAAGTTCAACTCCCGTGGGAAACCCTGAAAAACACCTGCTCAAGTTAGGGTACCGATTACCAATTGACCAAAAATCGATTTTTTTAAAAATCAGGCCTTTAGTAACTTATGAGCGGTCAAATCAGGGTTTGTTCATGATTCTGAGTTGACTGTTAGCATTTATATTTCACCACAAACACTTCTTTGTTGAAAAAGACCACACTGGAGGCAACAGTGC